GGGAAGCTGCAAGTTGGAGTTTCTTTTTTTTAGATTTAAAAAAAAAAAAGATTGAGCACAAATGATTAAAGAAAATATTGTTTTCCCCTCATTCTATGAGGCTGCTGTGTTTACATACTTTAAACATTTTGCACTTGATTGCCCACTGAGCCATATGCTGCAGCGTTGATTGTGCATTTGATTACATGACGTGCCCAAAGAAATTTATAATTTTGTCAGGCGACCTGCTGAGTTAAAGCTGTCGCTGACAGGCCGCCTGATGCTCACCTGTCACTTGCCTTCTGATTCCCCCCTTGCAGTCGGTTCTGTAATGTGCAAAACATTTTCCTGTTTAAAGTTACCTGTAGAATTTCTTAGAATTTGTGGTTAAAAAAACCCACTGGGGGCAAATTCAGTAAAAAAGAAAGTACCATTCCCTCAATGGATTCATCATTCTGCTTTAATTCAGACTTTAAAAGCATGGCAATTTCCCTTAATAGTCAAAACACTCTAAAATGATGTCAAACAGTGTGTGCTTTATTTCCGCACACAAGTGTTGGATTCTACTCGCCTGTCATTCCTGGGACGAGGGAAGACAAAATATCTAAGAACTTCCAACAATATTAAATATATCAGAATAAATATTGGTGAAGTGCATAAGTTAGTGACGTATAACATGTTTCCATTTGATGGTGCTGATTCAGAATAATTCTGTCAGACAATGGAACGACTTTAACAACTACAAAGCTGCTCATGAATTTGATCAAAGCGAGATACATGAAATGAAACACAATGAAACACATATCAAGTCTGAGACATTGACTTCAGGTGATGATGCACTTTGCTTCAGCAGACTCCATGCTTTCTACGTCAGCGTAATAACTAATGCAGCCGAGCAACGGCTCGCCGGGGGCATGACTGCTGGTGCGCAACCAACTGTGCGCCGTATTCAGAGGCGAGGTAAACAATGCTAACTCCTGACATGAACAGCGGCGTTGTGTTTGTTTTGCCCTCCGACCGCAGCAGCCGCCTCCGGCTCGTCCACTCGGTGTCACGTACCGGCAGTAAACACACTCCTCTTTCTCAGCAGTCCCATTCCTCCACTGCTGCTGCAGAAAGGCAATAGGTGCCCGGGGAGAAGTTTGTTGTGTGACAGATGGTGCGTGCATGACTGTGTGTGTGTGTGTGCACGTGCACATTTTTGTGTCGATTATGTCCATCCGATTGGCCGTAATCAATGAGGAGGCATTTATTCACCGTGAGCAGCAGTGAGACTCACCAATAGGAATAGCAGGAGATCAAAGGGTGTGTGTGGCTGGGGTTGCTATGCAACGCAAATTATAGGTAGGACACAGTGTCAATTGAGTATGAGCTGCATATATCCCAGAAATAGAAAGTGAATAAAGTTAAAGGTGCAAGAACCGAGAGTTGGAGCATTCCGATTGCCTCTCGACGATTCCCAAAATATCAGCGGGGAGCTGCAGGATTACGGCTTTACGGATTTGGGTTTTGGGGTTTGCAGTTGATGGTTATTACCCACAGAGCAATCAGCAGAGAAGAATGCAGGTGTTACTCCCAGTTGATAAAAAGATATGGAGAAGGAGAATGTTTTGCTCATTTTCATGGAAAAGTATAAATGTTTTCTTTGTGTACTAACTGATGAAATAGAAAACTATGGAAATTGCAATTCTTTCCTACCTTTGACTTGCGTAAAACACAACAATAAAAATATCCAATCACAAATGTGTTGTGAACCTTTGAGTATGAAGATAGACGCAGACGCGCTCATTAAAGATGCAATGTGCGAAACAGCAACTCTCTCACCTTGCTCTTACATTCAGATAGTCAAAATAAGGCCTTTATCTGACAGTCTTCCTAAGTGGCTCTTTCAATAGGTTGTTATAGCTCACCTCGCCCGGACCCCAGCAGCAGGATAACAGCTACATCAAACATTAGATGTTAATTGCATGTGTCTAAAAGAAACGTTACGAGTTCAGCATCAACTCCAGTGTGGAAAAGCCACTATAAAAGCCTTTTTATCTCTTATTTTCTGTGTGGTTTAGTGCAGTGAGCCAATTGCTGGGATGGTGATGGAGGTCGTTTGCCAAGAGCTTCCGCCGTCTTCTCGTGCTCTCAAATACGCAAAGTACCATACCAGTTAGGACTATTTAGCATGGCAGAATGTCCCAACACTTGCGATGCACTATGCCAAAAATACCACATGCATCCTCCTGCATCTTGTAGGATTTTGCATGAGGAAAAGCCAACGTGCTCTTTTGCAGATATTTGAGGGGCAGGGTCAAAGTTGAAGGTGCAACGTTATGACAAAGAACACGGTGTTTGCGCTAAGTGGGCGGCTTGTTCAATGTGCTCGACTGCCCCTCTACTTCTCCACTTCTTCTGTTAGACCGAGGACAGACTGTATCGCTATGGCCTCTCACAGGGTAAGTAGTGTTAGCTGGGGCTGTTTAGCATGCGCAACTCATTAGATATCTCCGCAGCACCATAGACACCTTTGACAAAACGTCCTCACGCCTAAGTCTTTTTATTAATGTTTTAAAACTAGAACCTCAGGACATTGCACCTTTTTAAAAACAATCTCTCACAATGTTGATACAAAAAGTCAGCCAATTAGGTGGGAAAGGGTGTTATTTATATCAATGGTGCACAGATTGGAGTTGTGATACCGTGGAGAAAGCAATGATATTAAAATCCAAGCCACATGTCACGCTGAAAGTGAATGTGTACCTCCAGCATGTACAGATTTGCCTGAAGTGATCGCAGAGTAGATTTACCCTGATCAGGCCATTTTGTGATGAGCCACCTGGTCTCAGTGCCACATCCATCAGGTGGAATAATTACCCCGTTAACGGGCTCCAGCAGGCCACCTGAACACCGCCCGACGTGAGGGGGAAGATGTGGTATAAGACGCTTGAGTAGATTTAAATCTTGTTTGGAATAAAACTCACACACTAACTGCGAGACATTTCATTTTCAACCGCTCAAATTCCAATTATTCCCAGAGTTCGGCTGTCAGAGCGGGTTTATTATTTTTCTCCATTTTTCTTGTTATCAATAACTGGAAATAAATAAGTTTAGAGAAGCGGGGAAACGTAATTTTCAGGATGAACAGAAGTGAAAGGTATTGAAAGCACTAAAGTACAAGTGAGGTTGCTTTACACTTTGTGAAGACGTGAAACTAGAGGGAGTGAAGGTGAGAATGAGTCTTCTAACTCTGCGGGATCTGATTCAACTGGTTGGTCTCCGGAGAGGCGCTTTGGTTACACTGACGTGTGTGTTTTTGCTGACGTAAGTCCGACAAATTCAAACAACGCCTGCGGCAAAGTGTTGACGCCACTGTGAAGAACTTCACCACGCAGATCATCCAATTACATTTCAGAAACCTAAAGGTATTACCGATGTTACACCGGCTATTTCTTACCAAAGCGCATCGCGTTTCTCCGCGAGGTCTTCCTTTCGCCACGTCAGCAATTTTCGCCTTTTCTTTGCTTTTGTCGACACACTGCTACACTTCTTGCACAGTCGCCACCACCTTCGCATCGGCAAACTTCACATGATGCATCTGGGAACCGAGGGTGAAGGTGGAGTCTCTGTTGGTGATGCATCAGACACTGTGGGTACATCGGTTTTTCAGTCTGCGTGATGGCGTCAGCTGTGTGATACTGTACGGAATTAGAGCCTTTGGCAAAGATCTCACCCCGGCTCTGGCTGTCAGTACAAAGACGGTCCCGGAAAAAAAACATTTCCCTCACACGCGGGCCGCTGCCAGATGAGACGGAGTTGAGCTCTCTTCAAGGAAACCCAAGCTTTTTTTTTTTTTTTCACTAATTTGAGTGGCTGCACTGGAACCGAGTTCAAAGCAGGACTGTGATTTGCGAGCGCCTTCTCACGAGATTGGAGGCCGGTTCTGTTGGCAATAAGATGAGCGGCTGATTGCATTGCCCGTTCCACTCTCTCCACGGGCCTCTCAAATGGAGATGGAGAGTGTTACTGGACAGCGGCTCTCTGAAAGTACATGAAGATTACTCAGCTGAGCACATTAAGACAGACCACAGAAGCAGCATTACTCAGCTCCCAGGTAGCAGGATGACAGAAACTGTGTGTGTTGGGGGCAGAGAGAGTAAACAGACTTTATTTGTTCTGGCTGTCTCCAGATCTAAATTGGTGTTATGAATTGCAGTGTGTTTATGCACGGTTGCCAACTCACACTTTTGGCACGAGCAGCCGGCTTTCGAGCTTTGTCTCACGCTCTCATGCTGCTCAAACAAATATCACGCGAGGAAACCTTGCAAGGCATTCAGTCTCGAAAAAATGTAGTTATATTGGTTAAATAGGCTTTGCACAGAACGGGAGCAACGGGCTTTCAGCTCCAACGTTAATCATCAAAAACCTTGTTAGCACTGCTGCTAATGGGGACATTCAAGTCACACAGTTATTTATTTCTGGAATCCCAACAAAGGAAGTTGAATGAAGCCGGATGCAGCGCGGCTAATAAGCTGAAAACCGCTCCCTGCCTTCAAAGGTCAGCCGTGTCAAGACGATTTGCTATTCCACAACGGAGAAATTTGGCATGTCAAAGTTCATCAACGCTGAGCCCACTGCATAACAATTAGCGCAGATTGACTCCAGCGCTGTGAGCAAATCCCCCCCCCCCGATTTCTGAGAGTGTGTGAGACTGGGCCCTAATGCCGCCGCTGATGTGTGCTGTTGTTGCATTTATTTGCATCTCCTGCGCAGTCGCCGCACTCCGTGGTTCTCAGCCGGCTTAATCCTCGCTACAGAGAAGGAGTCCACCTTAAGCTCTGCTGATCCAAGCGTTGTGATTTCAGGAGTTACTTTAATTGACCACCTCAGACTGCCGAGCCGAAGCTTCGGCAGCTCGCTGGCATGAGCCCAAGCGAGCCAACCTGCATATTTCGGAGTGCTTGTGTGATACAAATGTGGCACGCCGATGATTTTTGTTTCCCCGCCCCCCCCTCCCCCCTTTTTTTTTCTTCCAGAATGCAGGAGAGGGATCTACAGAGCATGTGCAGAAGGGCACTGCTGCTGACCGTCTGTATGGTGTCTCTGTGGGGACAACTGACCAGTGCATCGTCACACAGAAGCCACATAGGTAAAGTACATGTGCGTTCCTCGTTGTTTTCTCTGAAGATCGTCCTGCTGCTGCTGGATGTTTCAGTGTAAGTGGAGGCGCTGACTAAAGAAACACGCTGGTCTATATTTGTTAATTGGTGGTATATTATACTTTGAGTCAATTCCCATGAGAAGTCTGAAAAATAATAACAGTATTTACTGTATTTATGAAAATAATGGGAGCTACTGGCTTCTGAGAGAGTTGGACCACGTACAGCATCATCAAGGTTTTATGAAAACAAATCAGAATTTGGAAGAAAACAGACATTTTAAATCGACTTATTTTTACTCTGAACAATAAATCAGCACAACAACACAGTGAGATGCACCATAACAGATACGATACGTTTGATAATGTCATCATAAATGATATCACAGCACATAATGTATTGGCTTAGGGAAGGGCTTCTTTCTCACTGACTGCATGGGGAGAAAATCCCAAAATCAAATCCAAACCGATTCCTCACAGGTCACGTCAGTGGATGCGTTGGTCACAGTTCGCCTCACTCGTGTTTTCAACGGAAGGTGATATAATTAGCTGAGCTTTCTCTGGGTCTCTTCTCAAAGAAGATTTACAGATGTACCGTGAGGTTGGCAGCCATGTGAGTCAAGCATACCATGAGAAAAAAGTAATACCAGTAAAAGTGTGTGTGTGTGTGTGTGACAGGGGACACTACCCTTCAAAGTCAAGCTAATGGGGAGATGGCCTTATCCCTGGGCGTGTCGGTAGAAACTGGGACCAAACATTGAAATAATGAGCGTTATTCCGCTGGAGGCAGAGGCTGCAGGGATGCGGCGCCATGTTAGCTGAAAACAACAACACAACCCGCAAAAGAAAAAAGTTTTCGTAGACGTCTATGAGAAAATGACCTCACTTCTCATTTGTATTAGGATTGTGAACATGAGTTTTTTTATTTCAATTGCTAGTTTCAAGCTTCTTCAGCAGAGGTCCCATTTAGAGTGAATTAGACATTAAGGCACGGTGAGCTTTAGGGCAGGTTACCTGCTAATGGTCGCTACATCGTTGTTACTAGAGTTGTTTTTGGACGCTTATTTGACTTTTTGACTGTGTGTAAGTTATTTCAATGTTTAGTTTTTGTAATGTTTTGTTCAGCTGAAAATGTTCATTTCTCTGATCTTTGTACTTCCGTCGTCCTCCTTTCCTACCGACATAATTACCACGAGCATTGGACCAGACCTTGTGGAACCGCCCTGTGATGACCCAGTTTATAGACGATTTCAGCTGATCCCATCTTACATCTATTGTCCTCATCCATATAATGTGCTGCTAACATTTAAAGTGGATGATCGAATACAGAGGAAGAAAAAGCCGTCCTAGTAGTTACTGGGATTTTCTTTACTTGAGCAGCTGCTGAATAATTTAACCGTGTCAAAGTTTAATTTTGGACACAGGAGGATAGATGTTTTATTAGTAGTAATTATGTTAGTCATTATTATTTCCTCACTACATTTTTGGCCATAGGATGAAAATATACTCTAAAGTAAGTCGATGTGTCCCCTCATCCACACACTCACCAACGCTGCTTTGGCCGAACAGAGGAACAAAATCTGCAGTTTGACTCCGAGGCGGGAAACGGAGCAGGACCGTCCACCACAAACCCCACATCGCTCACGGGGCTCCACAAATGTCATTTTCACCTTCTCATGTAACGCATGAGAAGGTCATCTAATGCAGCGGCAGGTCACATTAGACACCGTGTGGGATGCCGTCCCTCCCATCACCCAACGACATTAACGGCCCGTCACTTTATTTTTTTCCTTTTTATTTATTGGTTGCGTTCTTGTGTAATGATGTCTCACCTTATCCCAATGTGCTAATTATGGGAGAGAAATGATTTGTTTTTGCTCTATTTTTCTGCCCGGATGTGGGCTTTAGGATGTAAAACAGTTATCTATCTATCTATCCGAGGTAACGTTTCAATGTGCTGTCATGATTAAATGGGCGCATTCATTAAAAAACAACAGATGGCCGACACACGATCTAATCAAAACCTTACATTTCTTTCGAAATATACTTGACGATTACTGCACGATAAAGCGGTAAATCTTGCGCGTGTGACCGCCAACATGTTGCATGAACAATTTTGTCTGGTTCCGTAATCGTCCCGCCCCTTTTTTTTTTTTTTTTCCCGCGTGTATCGCTCTTGATTTATTAGGCGGGATAGAGAGAGAGAGAGAGAGAGCGGGCTAACACGAGTAGCTTGTCCTCCCCGGACCGCACTAACACTTCGGTAATCACGGACCGCCGTCCCTGAGCCGCGGAGGTCAAGTCAAGGTGGATCCAGCAAACAAACCTCTTTAGCCCCTTTAGTTTATTGAGGCGGGGGGCTTCGCCCCCAAAGCAATTGAACTTCTCACCATAGACAGAGCGGAGCACGCTGAGTGTACGATGCGCACACATAACCCCGGTAATAAGACCACTGCATCCCCCAGAGCACCATCTGCATTCATTAGCTAGTCATGGAAGTGTGCCGAGGGAGAGGGGGAGGGGGGGGGGGGGGGGAGCGGTCCGGATAGAGAGTCGGCGCGAGAACAAGTGTCCTTTGGCCGTGCAATTTCTTTTGATCCCGTCGTTGGGGTTTAGATTGATGACCAGGATCAGATTGCAGCGTCATTACTCGGCTATTTAGATACTTGGAATTTTTAACTGTATCTCAGTTTGTCCAATTTAGAAAAAAAAGTGATCAGGCTCTCTGTGGTTTCTTGGTCGGTGCCTTCGAGGGGGAAACACAAAAAAATGTGGCAGAGAGGAAAACGGGCGTGAAAAACATTTCCCGCTGAGGCTGTGCGATGCAAAGTGGCAGCAGCTCCTCTTTCCCGAGAGGAAAACGCTCCAAGCAGCGGCGTTTACAGGTCGTAAACTCCTTCTTAAATTCAGAGCATTAAGCCAAATTACAATCAAATGACATCGGAGCTCGGGTTTGCGCTGGTTTTATATCAAGGTCCCGTTCTGCATTCACATGGAAACAGGGGGCCGTGTTGGCCGTGTTGCCCCTTATTAATTAATAAGATGGAACTGTGCACATGGCTCTCATTTGAATTCAGAGGAGTATTTCCATATTTGCTTACTGTGGAGACTTTCCAAAAACTGTGATGCACTCTAATGACTCATTCTCAAGCAGATTTTTCTTCCTTGTGGGGATTTTTTTTGCATTCTCTGCAAATTTGCTTAAACTCTTTTCCCCTCTTCATTTTCAATGTTTCATAAAGGGTAAAACGAGTTTCTTCTGATTCCAAATTAATGGTAAAATCCACACAACATCTCTATCTAGATATATTTCTTGAAAAAACGTTTTTCTCTCCCTCCAAATTTCCAGTTTGATTATTATAATGATGGGAAATACATATTAGATATTAAAATGTCCTACTTTATTAAAAATTGTGAATTTTAATATGCTTAAAAGATTAATTAAAATTGTTTCAGTCTTCCAGCCTGGAAGAAAAAGGCTGTAAAAGAGAGCTTTTAATGCCTTGATGAAAACCACGTAGCAGCCGAGTCATTATTTTAGTGTCAAAAGGCTTAGATTATTGTCAGAATTTCCAATAGTAGCATTTCAGATAGTCCAACCTCAAGTTATTCAGTGGTAGATTTAACCATTGTGTTTTGAACAATGACTTTAGAGTGCACCAGTTAAGAGATATTAAAAGGGAAATTGCAAAAATAACTTTATCTTCATACTGAGTCCATAATTTCAAACTCATTAAACCACTTTCCGCTTTATTTATATTCTATGGAGCCTCAAACTGACCAAATGTAGTAATATATTTTACCACAGCAGTCAACCTCCCTGACCTTATTGCTCCATTTATTTCACTTCCAGTTCCAAGCTCACGAGTATAAAATCGGGACACAAGAAAAGAACCAGTGGTGCAATAGAGTAACGAGGAGAACCATCAGATAAATTAAGCTTGACTGCAAAACATCATTTTTGGGGAAGATTTTGATCCCACTATGCATTTTCCACCTTATCGTGTCCTCCTCCGGCCTCCTGGCCCTGTAATGAGCTCGCCAACGCAGCGCACGGGTGCTGTTTTCGCCTTGCAGCGCTACATCAGCTGACCCTCGGAACCCCCCTCGCCCGGGGGTAGCATGACATTATACCAGCTCGGCGGCGGAGCAGGTCGGCCCCACCCCCCGGGGGACGTGTGCGGATGCGGAGCATTCGTCCTGACATTTGGAGAGCAGGTGGAGGACACAACGGTGGACGGAGATAGCGGGCGGAGGGAGATTGAGATGGAGATGTGGGGCTGTTTGAGATGCACTTGGGGGGGATGACAGGGGTCAGCTCGCCCCATCTCCCCGTGGCAGCCAGCAAGATTAGAAAACCATCAAACGTCCTGTGCTATACGCATCGGAATGGCAGCTGTATAGACGAGCCGTGAGTGTCTGCGTGTGGCCCCGTGTGTGTGTGTGTGTGTAGCCAGTGCAAGGGGAGTGTGTGTGTGTGTGTGTGTGTGTGTGTGTGCGCGCTAAGAGAATGTCAATAGTTTTATTCACATCCTTAAAAGGAAAAGTTCCCTCCAGAGCTTGTTCTTTTTATCGTGGGGGTGTTCTGGTGATAAAAAAACAAAAAATACAGCGTAAACATTTTCCGATTTAAGGGAAGGAATTTCTGGTTTCATACAACTTGATTGCTGTTTTTGCTTGGAGGGAGCTCAACACGAAGTCTACAGGCACGCAAGATGTGAAAAACAGGATTAAGGATAATTTGAATGGTAAATAGACCTGTTTTTTTGAATAGCGCCTTATTTAGTCTCTCAACCCCCTAGAGTGCTGTGCACATGCCATATTTCACCCATTCATACCCATTCATATCCATTCATGCACATTCATGCCCATTCACAGCCTTTCACGGGGGCCTTTCAGGGGCTGCCGTGCGAGGTGCCACCTGCAGACGTCCCCATTCTCGCGAATGAATGTATTGACACAATATTGTATTGAAACAGTTTGTTTTGGTT